TAATGTTTTTGTCACTTTTTACAGAATAAAACTTAAAGTAATGTAAGTATTTCCACGGTTTAAACGCTGCATGGTCGTACTCTCTGCTGCAATCCATATTATCCAATGTTGATCTATACACGTCTGTTGCTGCCATGGACGTCGCACGTGCTTACGTCATTGTCATGAGACACTCTCACAAACAAAATCACGATGGTTTAGTAACGTGGTAACGCAGCATACTTACAGGAAAGTAACAGCAGTCTAATTACTTTTTTTGCAATAGTAATCCCTTACATTATTGCAAACTTGAAAAAAGTAATTAGATTACAGTAACGCTACCGCATTGCTGCCCATCTCTGCACACAACACAAGTGACTATCAAAGTAAAACATGAAGTATGCGAAACAAACACTGAGACACAGACTGACTAAACACAGGGAACAGAGGGAGTGAGGGAAACACAACCCGACTGCAGAACAAGTGAATAAACAAGACAGAGACAAAATTAGAATTACACAGAACAAGGTGGGAGTGCGAGGGACAGAACTTCCCAGGCATGATAGGCTACACAGAGACATGACTGGGGAACAGAAAAATTAACATGGAGACAAGACTGACTTCAAAGAGAGATACTAACACAGGAAACTAGACACAAGAGAACGCAGAATGAGAACAGAACCGATCCCAGTCCTCTTAGAGGCTCATTCTATGAATTTTAAAGAAATTTTGTATGGCAACACTGATATTGCCAGCCAACTGCTACTCTATCTAATGATATCAGAGGTGATACAAGCATGTAGAGTCCACATTAGGAGATTTTTTTTAATATATATATTTCAGCAGCATGGAAAACCAACTTCATGCATCAGAGGTTGTGATGGACCGAGTTGAAAAACAGGAGGAGTCCCAGGAATTATTAGAAAAATATAGTTTTCATTTATTTAACCCCCAAAAATTATATTTACAAGAGTAATAAATGTTGAGCTCATAAAAGAGGTCAAAGAAACAAAACTGAACTCAGGCAAAGACTGCAAACTTAACAAACCAAATGACTGCCCAAGCATACATAATTGACCTAAACATGAAATGACATACAAGGGTATATATAATTGTGACACATGAGGGGTAACAAACAAAACAAAATCATAAATCACAAACGATGCAGTACAATCTAGGCGTTAATAAACTAAACACCAAAGAAGAAAATCAGAACCCATTAAACCCTAAACTCAAATATTTAATCAAATACCAATACTTTGTTTTTAAATTAAAGAAAACACACATTCTCCCCTTCAGCAGGAAGTGGTGGTGTGGTCCAATTATCTTCCTTTGCATTTAATGGTTTCAAACCCTGGCTACCATCTTTTGTCCAGCAATTCCCAGGGATGATGGCAGGTAAGAAATAAAAAGACAACGGTTAGTCGAAAATCAAAGAAATTAAGTAGTATGAATACATAAGTAAACTAAATGTGCGAGCTTACAAATAGAACAAATGTATCCGAACCAATCAATAAAGTTATTGGAAACTAAAGTGTATTACTATGTTCAAATGAAGAAATGAAAATACAAAAGTTACCGACTTTAGAGTGTGGCCACGGGTTTGGCCATCACAGAGGTAAAAACATTTCTGCAAAGGAGGCAGATGTATTTTAGAATTTAAGACATCCTCTAACGTGACTTAATGAGACTGATCTGCAGGATGAGAAGAGGCACTAAACAGAGAAACGAGAAAGTCCCATGTCTCCAAGACATTAAGTTTCTGTGCTCTTAAAGACCTCTTATGTCAAACCTGTCAAGACCTGCATAAAAACTAAGAATAGCTGATTATCTGTGTTTTAGTAACTCTGAAAGACTGGCTGGACTGGCATTAAAAACAGATTGTCACTGAATATATTACTGAAATAATCAGTGTTAACATTTCTGCCAGTTTTGCAGTTTTAAAAAGAAAGATTGGAGTGGTGTGCTACAGGCACATGGTGTGAAAGAGAAAATTAAAGAAGAAAATGTATATAGCCTGACCTTTTAGCTTAAACAGGTTCAGTTATGAAATAAAATGTTACAGTAAAGCAAGTCATGTAAAAGGAATCTATTAATGATAAAGCTCAAAATGATTATTGCAATGTTACTCTCACATATATGTTTTGTGATGTATAGTGCTTTATGTTTTGCTTTGGTCTCCACAGTCAATGTTAAATACATCCTGAGAGGAACACAAATATGTGCTTTCTTAACAACGTTCCTTCCTGAATGGCTGAAAGTTTCGTTTCTATTTGGAACATTGTTGGTGCTCTTTGGTACTTACAGTCACAAAGTGCTGTAAAAATATTACTATCAAACCTTTCTTGTAATCGAACAAAGAACAAGTCAATCATTAATCAAAAACAGGAACAAGGAACTCTCTGAATAAATATTGTGTAATGGTGTTTATTCCACTAAGTAATGATAAGAAGTGACATGCCAGTATAATAAACGTAAAATAAATCGAACTAGAAAATGAGAACGGTCAGTCAAATAGAGGTCAAAGTGAGCCACTCCTGTTTTCAAAGAAGCCAATTTGATTTATTGAAACCAATTTTTTAAAGCCACACAAAAGAACAAATCCAACAGAGCAACTTTTCAATACAAACCTGAAGGCAAAGAAACACATGCACAAGCAGCTGTAAGTTCTAAACCAATAAAGCAGAATGTTTGTAAAGCCCCTCATATTAAAGATGAAAGCCTTTCACAACATCAATGTCAGGGTCCTGCGTCTCCTGACCCAGCGTGTTTAGTTCTTCGTGGTTTTTGTATTATTGTACTTGTGAGTTATTATATGGTTTCTAGTTTTGATCCCTTGCCCTTCA